AAATAAAATAAAATAAAATAAAATAAAATAAAATAAAATAATATTAAATAAAATGCAATAAAACAAAATAAGTTTTTTTTTTGTAATTGTTAACGTCCAAAATAACTTATTCGAACACCAAAAATACTGGAGATGCAAAAAATTAACCAATGACTTACGTACTAAAATAAACTTAAAAAGTGAAAGCTTTATCTTTTACGTAGGAAACGATTGCACTGGCAAAATATATGTAATAAGAGATTTAAAAAATACTACTACTTATGACCTCAGCACTCTACTCACATTATTTTAAATAATTTATTATAAACTGTCAATGAACTTGTGTGAACTTCATTCATATTTAATGATTTGTAGTATTTCTACTACTAGAATGTTTGTGATTGCGTGATGTATGAGTAAAAGAAAAGTTTCTTTAAGGAAATTGTCAGGGTCTCAATGAAAAACTATAAACTTTATTGATTTTTAATTGTTAAACATTACAAAGTAAAATTTTCTTATGCTAAAATGGGCTGTTTAATATTTTTTTATTTCCTTCTCCCTCTCTCTCTTTGCAGTTTTATAAGCTTTTTACCATCGTTCCTTTTTGAACAATTTAGACGTTATTCAAATTGTTTTTTCCTATTAATTGCATTATTACAACAAATTCCGGATGTCTCACCGACGGGTCGTTATACAACATTGGTACCATTAATATTCATTTTATCGGTGAGCGGTATTAAAGAGATCGTGGAAGATATTGTAAGTGTATTGGGTTGAAGCCATTAAAAAATCATAATAACTAATTATTTAAAAATTAATACGAAAAAATATATTTTGCACTTCAGAAGCGACATCGCGCAGATAATGAAATTAATCATCGAATGGTGGAAGTGCTGCGAGATGGCGCATGGACCTCGGTGCGATGGCGGGATATTGGTGTGGGCGACATAGTTAAAATACCCAATAATATATTCTTTCCTGCTGATATACTATTGCTGTCGTCGAGGTACGTAAATTTTTGTCTTACATAATTAAAAAGTAAAAAATAAATAATAAAAAATAAATAAAATAAAAATAAATAAAATAAAAATAAATAAAATAAAAATAAATAAAATAAAAACAAATAAAATAAAAATACATAAAACAAAAATAAAAAACAAAATAAAATGAAAATAAATAAAATAAAAATAAATTAATCAAAAATAAATAAAATTAATTTCCAAAATTAACAAAACTAAATTACTTCGCATATCTCTTTCCACTCCTGATCCTCCAGTTATGTCTCTGTTACTAATCTTTACCTCTTCACATTTTCCAGTGAACCCCAAGCGATGTGTTTCATTGAAACCGCCAATTTGGATGGTGAAACCAATTTGAAAATACGTCAAGGTGTACCAGCAACAGCGAAATGCTTGGAAACGAAAGATCTGCTGCAATTGGATGGCACCGTCGAGTGTGAGCTGCCAAATCGTCATCTCTACGAATTCAATGGTGTGCTCAAGGAGTCGAATAAGCCGTAAGTTTTTCTGCATCATATTCATATAAAAAAAAATAAAATTTGTGTGTACTTCTTTTCTTTACCACCTCTCTCTCTCTCTCTCTTGCAGCACCGTTGCTCTCGGTCCCGATCAGATATTGCAACGCGGCGCCGTTTTACGTAATACCGCTTGGATATTCGGCGTTGTCATCTACACTGGACACGATACGAAACTTATGAAAAACTCTACCTCAGCACCATTAAAACGTTCAACCGTCGACACTGTAACGAATACGCAAATATTAATGTTATTCGTTATTCTGGTCGTTTTGTCGTTGACCAGTGCGATATTGAACTTTTTCTGGACCCGTGATTATGCGAAAGTGTTTTGGTATTTGGGCATAAGCGGTGAGTGGAATGGGTGTCATGGAAATTTTAAGTTTTTATTTTCATACAAAAATCTAGCAATAAATACATCTCCTGTAGATTTTTGTATGAAAAAAAAACTTAAAATTGTCATGACTATTTTTGAAAATTTAAATTTAATATTATTGAAATTTATTTTTAGGGCTACTCCCTATTGTTTTTGACGCTAGTAATTATTTTTAAGTTAATTTCTTCAAAGAAGCTTTCAAATGGTTTGAATTTAAGAAAATTTGTTACTTGTTTGCCGACAGATTCAAAAAAATCTGCTTGGTAACGTCGCCAAAGGAATATTTTTTGTTAAGTTTGCTATAGGATTATTAATAAAAATTTTTTCTGCTGGGTTACCAACAGTTTTTTTTTCTAAAACTTCAATTATTAATATTATAATCTTTTAACTAACTTGCAGAGGACATAAAAAGTAAAAACGCTGGCTATAATCTCTTAACCTTCTTTATTCTGTACAATAATCTTATTCCGATATCCTTGCAAGTAACACTGGAGTTAGTGCGATTTCTGCAGGTGAGCTTATTTAATTGTTTTTTAATGTTATTAAATTTTATTTTTCAAAAACTTTTCAATTTTCTACACTTTTGTAGGCCATTTTCATCAACTTCGACATACATATGTACTATGCGGAAACCGATACGCCGGCAATGGCGCGTACCTCTAACCTCAATGAGGAGCTGGGCATGGTCAAGTACATATTTTCGGATAAGACAGGCACACTAACGCGTAATGTAATGGTTTTCAAAAAATGCTCGGTAGCGCGTTACATGTATGAACCGGGTAATACGCCAGAGGAATCGACTATAGTGCAGGTGGGTTTACATTTTTTAATTTAAAACTTTATAAATAACCTCAATCTTTCTTACCTTTGTTCAATAGAATCTACTTGGCAATCACAACACCGCGCCGATCATCAGAGAGTTCCTCACACTACTCGCCGTCTGTCACACCGTCATACCGGAAAAATTCGATGACGGCTCCATTATCTATCATGCCGCCAGCCCCGATGAACGCGCCATTATCGAAGGTGCACGCATGTTTGGTTTCATCTTCGAATCACGCACGCCACATTATGTGGAGATAAATGCACTCGGCAGAATTGAACGTTACGAAATTCTTAATGTACTTGAATTCACCTCAACACGCAAGCGTATGTCGGTTATTGTCCGTACGCCGAGTGGTGAGATTAAACTCTATTGTAAAGGTGCTGATACAGTTATCTATGAACGTCTCTCGCCGGATGGTCAAATGTATCGTGATACCACTTTACATCATTTGGAAGAATTTGCTTCGGAGGGCTTACGTACCCTCTGCTGTGCTGTCTCGGTGATACCTGAAGATGTGTACAATGAGTGGAAGGAGACGTATCACAAGGCTTCGACGGCATTGCAGTATCGTGAGCGTAAAGTGGAAGATGCTTCGAATTTGATTGAGAATAATCTGATATTATTGGGTGCAACAGCTATTGAAGATAAACTGCAAGAAGGTGTGCCAGAGACGATAGCATCATTGCTGGAGGCGGGCATTTATATATGGGTGCTAACGGGCGATAAGCAGGAGACGGCGATCAATATTGGTTACTCATGTAAATTGATTTCACACTCAATGGATATTATTATACTCAACGAGGGTAGCTTGGATGTAAGTTGAGATGGTCGTGGGAAATTTGTTTAAAAGCTTGATTTATCTTTTTTTAATAAAAAAAAAAACAGAAATCTAAAGCTAAATAATTGTTCACTGCAAACAAATACTGAATTCAAGAAAACTAAATTTTTAAAATTTTCCAATTACGTTTGAATTTGAAAAGACATATTTGAAAAAAAAAAAAATCATTCTTATTTCCTTTTGAAAAATTTATTGCTATTTTGATATTGGACCTAACTCATTATCAGTGTATATTTTATCTTCACTTACGCTTAATTAACACTCTTAATACTCTTTTTCAGGCCACACGTGATATTATTCATCGCCACGTGGACGAGCTGAAGAGCTCCGACATGAAGGAATGCAATGTGGCGTTGGTAATCGACGGGCAAACACTGAAATATGCATTAAGCTGTGATTTGAAGCAGGAATTCTTGGAACTCTGCTTGGTATGCCGCGTAGTGATCTGTTGTAGGGTCTCGCCCATGCAAAAAGCGGAGGTAAGATACAATATTTTCCCATCTTCAACAGACACTAACATCCGTTTTCGAACTCTTCCCCCACCGATAGATCGTTGAATGCGTCACCCAAGCGACCGGTGCCGTTACACTAGCCATCGGTGATGGCGCTAACGATGTGGCGATGATACAAAAATCTCATGTTGGTGTTGGCATTTCAGGCGTTGAAGGTCTGCAAGCGGCTTGCGCCTCTGATTATTCCATAGCACAATTTCGTTATTTGAAACGTTTGCTGTTGGTGCATGGCGCATGGAATTATAGCCGCATAACGAAGCTGATACTCTACAGTTTCTATAAGAATGTTTGCTTGTATGTGATTGAACTGTGGTTTGCCATCTATTCGGGTTGGTCGGGTCAAATTCTATTCGAACGTTGGACTATTGGTTTGTATAATGTTATGTTTACCGCTTTGCCACCATTTGCGCTTGGACTCTTCGATAAGGTTTGTTCGGCGGAGACGATGTTGAAATATCCACAATTGTATAAGCCATCACAAGATGCCAAACTGTTTAATGTAAAAGTGTTTTGGGTGTGGATATTGAATGCGTTGTCGCACTCTGTGTGGCTCTTCTGGCTGCCGATGTTGATGACTCGCGAGTCGGTGTGGTCCGATGGCAAGACGAGTGATTACCTCTTTTTGGGCAATATTGTGTACACGGTGAGTTGGAGGAAGGGTGATTAAGGTTGTCACCAATATGAAAACAGTTGAAAAAAATTAGATTGAATATATAGTTTTCTAACTGTTTGACGAATTTTTGAAATTTTATTTTTGCAATTTTGTTTTTAAATAAATTTTTCTTATTTAATTTTTATTTGGCTAAATAGACTACTTTGAAAACTATTTTAACTATTCGAATTTCTACCAACTTTTACAGTATGTCGTGGTAACAGTTTGCCTCAAAGCAGGTCTCATCACCAATTCTTGGACTTGGATGACGCATGCTTCAATTTGGGGTTCTATAGCGATGTGGTTCGTGTTTATGGTCATTTATAGTAACTTTTGGCCTACGATTATGTTAGCGCCAATCTTTTTGGGCATGGATCGTATGGTATTTTCAACAATCGTTTTCTGGCTGGGCCTGTTACTTATACCAATAACGACGCTGTTGCCGGATATTCTCTTAACAATGTAAGTTTAGCCATTAGAAATATTTTTTTTTTTTCAAAATTTTCTATTTCCTGTTTCTTTATATACACTATTTTCTAAACAGCGTACATAATACTGTATTCAAATCACTCACAGAGGCCGTACGTGAGTCAGAGATACGTCGTTATGATCCTGAAAATGTGATACGAGAATCGAAGACATCGTAAGTAGTGGAAAACTTTATGATTTTGAGATTGATTTAAATTGGTTGATAAATAGTAATTTTGTATGGTAGGAAATATGTGGCTTATGTGTAGAGCAATGAACTAAAAGAATATTTTTAAAACTAAGAAAATCAGTAATAAGTGAAAGCGAAATAATTGTGTTAAAAGAAGTACCAAAATTAAAATAAATTAACATTAAATTAATATTTTTTATTTTTTTGATAATTTTCTAATTATTTTTTTCTATGCACTTAATGAATTTCGGAATTTCAAAAAAAAAAGAACACATTTACAGAAAATTCTATACTTTTAAAGAAAAATAATAAAACCTTTTTTTGTCTTTGCCTTACTTATTTAAAAGGTTTTACGTGAAAATTACTTTTAAAGAAAAATAATAAAACTTTTTTGTTTGTCTTTGCTTTATTTTTATAATAAGTTTTACGTAAAAATTAATTTTTTACTAAAAGATTAAAAGATCAAATGATTAAATATTGAAATATATGTATATAATAAAATTCTTTTCAAAGAAAAGTGATTTTTTTAGAAAACTACATAACTAAGCCACAAATTTCCCTCCTTCGGCATTCACCTTCTTACTGGAATGTCGAATAATATTTTTGTTTGCTTTTTGTTGGAATTTTTTCCAATACCTCACTAAAAATTTAATTTTGAATTGTTGAGCATACTAGTTGACACCAATATTTTTCTATATGAAAATACAAAAAAAAAAAATCTCCAAAAAGAAAAGAAGAAAATAAACATAAAATATAGCCAAAAAAGTAGTGCTATGTATTTTTTAATGCAAAGTTTTTAGTTTTACCTACATTTTGTGTGACAAAATATTTCAATTATTTTAAAAATAATTTGTTTTAATTTTGAAAACTCAAATATACATAAAAGTAGTAGTGCATTTTTCTACCCACCAATGAACCCTCACACCTAGAATTTAGTTTGTATTTAGAGAGTGAAATTTTTTTTAAAAAACTTTTAGTGTTTTTTGCAAATGTATATGTACATAATTAATTAACTATTTTTTTTTTTTCGTTTGTGCTCGTGTTACGATTTCTTTCTGTTTTGTAGAACTTTGTTAATGAAAAGATTTCCCCCCTCTAACGAAATTGTGTTTGTTGTATTTTTATGTGAATGTATAGCCCCTTCAATGCTTTATTATATTAGAAATATTTTTAGAACTCACAATACGATATTTGTTCTGTTGTTTGAAAAGAAATATTTAATTTGGCTCGATTTTGTTTCTCTTGCTTTTTTGCACGTCTGCAATGTAACCACTGTTATTGCAAAGTTTATTTATGCACCTGCCCGCTTTTCTTGCACAGACTCACATATTACGCTTATTATGTTGGAAAACATTAATATTTTGAGTTGCAAATATTTATTTAACTTATCGGTGAGGACGTGATTACATGGTCACATTCAATAGTAAAAGAGGGTATGTGGGTCGATATAACAAATTAAAAAGAATATGAGATATAAAAATGTTTATTTTTCTATTTGTTCGCCTTAATATTTATTAAAAATGAAATTATTGAACTAAAAACATTTAGAAAATTATACTTTTGCATTTAATAAATTTCAAAACTGCAAACTTCACAAATTTTTGAAATAAACAAAAACAAATAAGAAACAAAAAGAATTAATATTGAATAAAATCAAATATAATAAAGAAAAATAAAATGAAATAAATTAAAAAAAAAAGAAATAATAAAAAGAAATTTAAAAAATATAAAATGAAATAATTCACATAAGCTCAAAAAAAATAAAAAAAAATAAATAAAAATATAAAATAAATAAAATTACAATGAAAAAATAAATTAAATAAAAGCAACCGAAATACTTTAAATAAATAAATAATAACATGATATGAGATGTTTTCTTTTATCAAACATAAATATATATTTATATATCATTAACAAAGAAATTATAATCATTTAGCTATAATATTAAGTAATATGTGAACTGATATTAACAATTTTGCATATCTATAAAGGTGGATGTGATATCATTAAAACTTAGTGGCTTTAATCAAAGGAAAAGTTGCATTCTCAATGTTAAAGAAAAAACTACGAGTACATTAACACATATGCACACGGAAAAACACACATATTTTTTTTACTAAAGAGAAATTATTTATTACCATTTATTTCATTTATGTAATAAGAAAACAGTTTTTTTTTTAATTACTGTGATTGCTTAATATAAATGTAATGCAAAAATTTAATGAGCTCTTCTTGTATCAAAATAAATAATAAAAAATCTATTTGTATATAAATAGATAATCATTTTGTGCTTAAACACCCTAAAAAAATTTTTTTAGCAAAAAAGGTGAAAAATGTAGAGAAAAATAATAAATTAATAAATTTTATTATCATGTTTATAAAATATAATTTTATAGCTGCTTTTAGAACTTAGAAACATTAATTTTAAATTTAAATTTAATTTACTTACTATTTACATTATTTAAAAAGAAAAAAAATTAATAAATATACGAGTTTTTTTTAATTTGTAACAACTTTCATAACAACGAAATTATTTTCATTAATTTTTTATTAAATATCTGAGTTTTTTTTTAGATGTTCCATTTATATTTATTTGTAATCCACAATACAAAGAAATAATTTACATAACAAAAGGCTTAAATAAAATTAATTTTTTTTAGTTTCATTTCATTTTTTAGTCAATTATAATTATAATTTAATATTTTTTTTTAATGCATATTAAATTTCATAAAAGTTTTCATTTTATTTTTATAATAAAGATATCGTAGTATGTATTTTCCAAAACAAAGAAATGCCTCAATGTTTGAACGAATGCGAGGGCGTGTTTAAGTCAGATTGAATGTATAGAGAATGGCAAAAGAGCAATGATATTGAAGTTGTGAAAATTATTTAAGGATACAAGAGGTGCTAAACGGAGTTCAAAAATCAAAAGGCAAGAATCGAGGGATTTTTCTTGTTTATATAAGTTGCCTAAGTATTATTTAACTAAATGTTCAGTTATCAATTTTTGGTTTTACAAATTTTCGTTATATAAATGGCTGTAAAAATATCATAAAAAATATAATTTTGGCGTATTCAGCTGAGTTATTGATAAACTTTCTTATTTATGTATACTATTATTTCTTTAAGAAGAATGTATTAAGTATTTTCTAAAAAATAATGTAAAATTGAATGAAAAGAAGAATATTAAAAAAAAAAATTAATAAATATTTTTTATCTAAAAATTTGGAAAATTTCTCAAAAACTACTTTTGAAAGTAAATTAAACATTCAAGCATAAATAAATATACAAGCATAAATTTCGTTAAGTTTTTTTTATTACAAAACTGCCGACCTGAGATTCGAAAAAAATCGAGAAATCTTGTTTTAAAATTGAAATTTCAATATTAATTAATTATTAAAATTGTTTATTTAAGAATGAGATACATATTTATTTAATTGTATTCAGATATAATCAACTAGCAAGAGCACACCATAGAGTCTCACCTGAATGTTAGATTCGGATTCATTAAAGCTTTAAACTTACCATTCGCAATAATAAGATTTAAATAAAAGAATGTTATTAAAAATTATCACATCAATTTATTTTCCAAAGCCTTGAGGCGCCTGAAATTATTTATTTTTATACATTACATATATCTTAATTAATTATTAAATTATTTTTCAGTCTTGTTTTATAGTGAAATTTGTTAAAATAAATATTTATTATAATAAAAATAAATTAGCTACATACATAGACAGTTCTTAAAAACACTCAAACTAAATTTAATACACTGCTTGACATATAAATAAATATATATTATAACTCTGTCAATAGCTTCTTAGCACACTATAGTTGAAAAAAGTATTTTTTGTTTTCTTGGTTTGGTCTTCGGGACAAAAAAAATGATTAAGAAAAAGCTTAAAAAAAAAATTTCATTTAAAATAAAACAAACACAATTTTGTTAAGCAATAGAAAATCATAGTCTAAAGATTTTATTATAAAAAAATATTTTGTACCAAATAGCGTGACATTTTCTTAAACAATTTATATTCGTTGAAAATCGTAGCCTGTTTGTGTGTATATTCGTTTTTAGAAAATAAATGTGTTTACAAGCTCTTAAAGACTATCTGAATACTGAAATAACACACTGCCTTGAAATATCATATGCTCCAACCTCTCTCTGTCTTTCTCTCTCTCTCTCTCCCTGTCTCCCTGTATTGACCACTACTACTGTTAGACTACTTTTAAACTAGTTTTCAAACACTTTTCAACTAGTGTGAAAATATTGAAAATCAAAAATTAATAAGACAATATTCAAATAGTGTATTATATATACGAGTATATATGTATAAGAATATGTATTTATAAAAAAAAATATTTATTTATTTGTCACTCATACTTTTCTTTTCTTTTATTTTTCCACTTTTGTACGCTTACCCCACGTGTAATTGTTGTCCGCTACGTTAATGAAATTTGAATAAAACAAAAAACAAATGAAATTTTTATTTGTTAAAATATTTCCGCTAAACTTTTGTACAAAAAAAAAAAATACAACGGTGCTTAAATATAAATCACGTTGCTTCAAACTACAATTTTCCAAAAAAAAACCCTCTACACTCCTCTCTCACTCTGCTATGGGCAGTTTATCGGTCACCGTGACCGCTTGGCGTCGCATAACCTCCGTGGAAGCCTTCCGCCGGCGTCCGAATAATACCATGCATCAACTGGAGCAGCCACAGTCGGAACACCACGGTGAGGAACAAATGCAGGTGCATAATTATAACCGAAATGGCAATGCCGTTAACAACAAAACTCCAGGCAATCGTAGTTCAATTATTACTGTGGAAAATTTAGAATCGGATAATGAGCAGCAATTGAAGAATGCTGAGACGCCTTTATCGGCGACAACGACAATGACCACACTATATATTTAAAATCGAGATGGAAATGGAAAACACAGGGAATCAAAAAAAAGTTTAAATTAAATTAAAATACAATGACGA